AAATCTTTTAGTTTGATTCATTTTTGGCATGCGCCACTTGCGTCAGAAAATATGTGGACGGGAAGTCGCCTAAAGTTGCTACTATTTCTGTTTTCTTTACCGATGCAATCTGATAATATTCTCCAGTATCTACACAATATCTATACAGAATCTTACTAAAATCTAAATAATTTTGATACACCTATAAATCCTATATACCAAAAATCGACGGAAGTTCATTGTGCAATTGGAATGGCTTTTTCGTCATTAACTTATGCCTATTACTATATAACTTTTCTATTATGGGTACATCCTTAATTTGAGCATTTTCTATGGTTTTTCATCCAATTTTCTCTAATATTAATGTAAACTAAATTTAGTATTGTATTTTATATTACATTATATCCTAATTTTTTAAATTTAGATATGTATATTATAATATAAAATTATTTCTTATTTTAAATCTCTTATGGTAGTATTTTGTCTTAATAAGTTGAAGTATGTTGTAAACTATATAAATATATATTATTCTGTAAATAATTCATTTAGTCTATAATTTATAAAAATAGATTTAAGTTATTTGATAAGTATTATTTTGTGTAATATTTAATTACAAATATGAAATATTTATATATAAATATTGTAGAAGTTTATTTCTTATTCTATAAATAAAAATATTAACATGAGTTAATATTCATTTTTAATTGAATTTAATATTATTTTAGGTTTTTATTATTAAAATAATATTAAAATAATAAATATTTCTTTTTTAAATAAAAATATATTAAAGATATTGTTTGTGATCTAAAAAAGTAGTTAAGAGTATTTTTGATATCTTATTTTGAAGATATTTAAATAATATATTAATAATATGTGTTTATTTAATAATAAATAAGTTTGTTGTATGTGACAAAACATAAAATTAAATAAATGTAATGGTTTTACCTAGACTACTTCCAAGTGTACAAAAAAAAGTGCACAAAAAAAACTATTTCCAAGTAGATAAAAACTGCTTCTTGTTTAATATTATTGATTGTCATTTCTAAAATTAATTAAGAACCATGACTCATTTCCTAGATTATTCATCCATTCACCCAAAAGAATACTTTCCTCTTAAAACTTCAAAATAGGAGATTTTATTTGCAAAATTATAAAATACTAGGGTCTTTCCCGGGCTACGCCCGGGTTAACTTTTGATAACATCATTATAATATTGATCGTATACATCGAAAAGAAAATTATATGTCTATCAAATATAAACATGTTAAATGATAAGATTGGAACAAATTTTGTTTATGAAACATAGAGTGGTGAAAGATCTAAATAACTTTATAGTTTGGGTAGATTTGGATTAT